ATAAACTATGCAATCTCCACAAAAATATTTAAATAAATGCCTATAATTGGTAACAGAAGCCACTGGTTTATAACAATGGCTTCCCATACTTAATACTTCTCGTTTTCACTCTCGCGTGGTCATGTGTGACGTCACGAGCTGCGGCGTCTACGTATACACGAGTTAGTCGTTGCTTTGACATTTTTCATGCTTTTCTACAAATACTTCTATGGTAATTATCCGCTGAGCTGCTTTCACTGGTTCCCAGACTCCATGAATTCATTTGCCCTACGAGGCTGGCATCCCACTCTCATATTACACTGTAGAAACTTTTTAAATGTAGCCGTCTCTTCTAATTCCAATAGCTTCATACCTCGCACCTCTCGCCTGTGGAACACCCTTCCCAATTACTTTTTCCCTGGGAGCTATAATCTCCAACTATTGAAATGTAATGTCAATCGACACCTCCAGTTACCTTGATCTACCCACTATCCTTCTCCTCATCCTTTCTTCTATCACTATATATCTGTTCTTGCTCCAAATCTTCTGCAACCCCCTGCATCCTAGTGGCTTCACGCCTTGCTCAAGGGTAATTCTTAAACGATAAAAAAAAAAAAAAAAAAAAAAAAAAAAAAAAAAACAGACTATCATTATTGTTTCGTCTGTGTATTGGTTGATATATTGAAAAGTAATTGTCATCTTTGATAAAATATTATGTAAATGATTTTAGATTGGATTTAAACATGTAAAATATGGTGATTTCCTTTCGTTATTAAACTTATCAGACAATATGAAAGGAACTTAATTTAAAATAAATAGACAAAACTTGTCTATATTATTTAATGAAACATGCATCAATTAATAATTGCTGATAAATAATACAATATATATATATATATATATATATATATATATATATATATATATATATATATATATATATATATATATATATATAAATTTCTAAAGTATCGCAATATATGTATGAAATGGGTGAAAAAATTTTCAACACCTGATGTTAAAAATATAAAAAATAAGGGAAGGAGCAGACAAAAAAAAAGATGTTCTTTTTTTTTTCGTCTTATTTGCCGATGATAGTTTTCTGAAGATGTGTCGGCCGAAAGGTGACTAAATTTTAATCACTGCGATAATTTTGTATCCTTTTTTATGAATAAAATATGACCCCTCTTTTAAAGATCATTCTATCCTGGTGTGGCAGTAATAATTCGTTTATATATATATATATATATATATATATATATATATATATATTACAAATTAACTGATTTCAAATATGGTTTCTTCGCGTTTAAAACTCAGTAAATTTAAAAATAAATTTTTCCAAAATTCGCTTGAAGATGAAACAGAACTAATGCTTTTAATTTAATTATATAAATAAATTAAAAGTTTTTAGCTTAGGTTTTTGAAACATGGTAATTCCTGTGTAGTGAAGAAACCATATTTTAAATCGATTAATTTATAATATTAATGCTCTGTAAATTTACATTGAGCACTATTTTGTAAAAATAAAAATATCAATAAGAACACCGGATTATATATCTTACTGTTACATTAGAACATATAAGTAATTACTACAAAATTGTACATTTTGTTTCGACTTTTAAATAAAACGTCTCTTCAGATAATTAACAATTACCATCATTTTTAATCACCTGAAGAGACGCTTTATTTAAACGTCGAAACAAAATGTACAATTTTGTAGTGGATACTTACATGTTGTAATGTAACAGTGTATAATAAATATTTTTTGCTCTATTCTTGTATTGAGCCCTGTTTCAAATTAATGTTTTGAACATTGGATTTTTATTCTTCGCTCTTTTACATTTGTATATATATATATATGTGTGTGTGTGTGTGTGTGTGTGTGTGTGTGTGTGTGTGTGTGTGTGTGTGTGAGAAAGTAGCTATAATCACCTTCTCAGACTAACAAATATTAATAAATAAACGATCAGAACTTATCTCAAAATCTAAGCACGAATACAAATTTTTACCACGTTACGTAAAATCGAAAAGTAAAAACGAATAACTTGTAAAATATTACCATGGAAAATGGAAATATATATCCCATATATATATATATATATTTATGTCTCTCTCTCTCTCTCTCTATATATATATATATATATATATATATATATATATATATATATATATATATATATAAATATATATTTATATAATTTTATATATATATATATATATATATATATATATATATATATATATATATATATATATATATATATATATATATAAATATATATATATGTTCCATATATATATATATATGTGTACAAATATGTGTGTGTGTGTGTTCCATATACAAAGCAATGTCACATATTTTAGATAAAGCTATGCAATCCTCGAGAAACAAATTAAATAAATGAAATAAACAAATTAAGTAATGAATTCACACATAAACACAACCACAAATAATAATAAAATAATAATAATAATAATAATAATAATAATCAAAGCTAATCGCCCAGACATTGTTATTAGAGACCGCAAACAAAAAAAAATAAGCCCTTATTGATATGGTAGTCCAGACTGCAATGTATCTTTGAAGCTCTTTAAAAAGCTGTCAAAATACAAGGACCTTCAAATAGAAATCTCACAAATGTGGTACATGGGAACATCAACAATCCCTGTTCTAGTTGGAGCCCTCGGATTGGTTGGAAAGGATTCCAGTAGACTCATCGAAGGGATCCCTGGAAGCCTATACCTTAAAGAAATATAAAAAAATTGTTCTCACGAGTACAGCCCACACCTTAAGAAGGGCTTTACTATGTAAAATATATGTTTTTTTTTTAATTGGTCAATGGAAAATGTCTACTGCCATTTCTGATCTTAGGTCTCTGGGCGGGACCCGGAAAGAAATATGTACAAACCAGAAATCAAAAGAAATAATAATAATAATAATAATAATAATAATAATAAAGTAATCAGTAATAAAGAATGAGTAAAAAGTTAACAAAGAAAAATATAAAATAGATACAAATAAACGTATTCGGGTTTACAATTATTCCTACTCAACAGCCTCTAGAACAATTTGAAAAACAATAGACCTTGCTAGCTATAATGCACCATCGGATACGATAAATTATATAAAAACTGTCCGAATGTTCTTTTAATCCGAGCGCTTTCGGCTATACATTTAGCCATTTACAAGGATTAAATATTTTAACTTGTCAAATAAGAAATAGTTTGTTGCATGTATGTATTTATAGAATGTTTTCATTTTTGAAAACATTATATAAATATATACAGCACCAAACTATTTCTTATTTAATAAAAATTAATTGAATATATTTAATCCTTGAAAATGGCTAAATGTATAGCCGAAAGCGCTCGGATTAAAAGAACATTCGAACAGTTTTTATATAATTTATTATCTGAAAAGAAAAAAATTATTATATCGCATGAGAAATTGTATAAAAAACTAAATAAAAGCACCTTGTCTGTCGTATTCAATGAAATGTGCATATATATATATATATATATATATATATATATATATATATAGAGAGAGAGAGAGAGAGAGAGGGGGAGATTTTAAACTACTGTATAGTAACTTAAAAATAAAATACAATGAAAATGTTATCAGTTTGAAAGGGGAGATACCAGCGTGCCTGAAAACCATACCACGGGTTGAACCAAGCCCTGTGAGAGTGAATTTGGGCCGTCGATAGCAATGCTAGCACGAAGTCACAAGTCATCGTGACTGAGGGTTTGAGTGCGCTGGCGCTTTTCAGATTTTTGACAACACGCTAGACAACACGCTCAGCATAGTTGCAGTATAAACCACGGGTGGGCTCTGTGGGTGTTGAACAAACACAAATGTGTCTGAGCAAGCGTCTGCAAATAGAGATTGGTGAGCCGCCGCAGTGGACGGGTATCCTCGAATACAAGTGGCCAGTTATTATATATATATATATATATATATATATATATATATATATATATATATATGAAGAGAGAGGCCTGAACCAAAATTTTTCTTCTATATTTCATAAATCAGCTTTGAAATGCAACGATGCAGCTGATGATAGTCCTGAAAGTGGAATTTGCAGAATGTTTTGAAATGTGGGAGGATGTTGGTATATGTGTGCAAGGTCCCAATGGGAGGACTTTGAAGTGGGCTAAAATGTCATTACCCCAGGCAAGACCCTTTTAATTTTTTTTTTTTTTTTTTTTCTTTTCGTTAATATTAGATGGCTGGATATATTCCGGATGTGTACGTATTTTCTACATTCTTATATCATTTTCTTCTTCATATTACCGTGTTCTAATTCTTTTTTTTTTCCCTTTTTCTCTTTCTTAATATTACCTTCTTCCTATTTAGACTTTTTCTCTCCTCACTATCTTCTCCTACTCTTCCCATTCCCTTCCCGACATCCACTTCTCCTCCTCCTTCTTCTGCGACTTATTTTTTGTTTTTTGCTTTTTTTTTTCTCCTACCTTTGTCGTCCTCTGGCTCTTACTCTTAAATCTCTCCTTCCTCTTCTACTAGTTACTTTCTTCTCCTTTTTTTCTTTTTCTTCTTCTTCTTCTTTTTCTCCTCCTCCTCCTCCTCCTCCTCCTTCTTCTTCTTCTTCTTCTCTTCTTAGCATCTCTCGCTTCTTCTTAACGTCATAACACCACGTCGTCTCCTTGCTTTCTTCTTTTTCTTCTTCCTCCTCTCCCCGTCTTCTTCTTCTTCTTCTTCTTCTTCTTCACATCGTCACCTTCGTCATCGTCTTACCCCCTCCTTCTTTTTCTTTGTGTTATTTCCTTGTTTCTCTTCTTCACATCATCATCTTCGTTATCGTCTTACCTTATACTTCTTTTTTCTTCTTTTTTTCTTCTTCTTCTAGCCTTTCTTCTTCCTTTTTCTTCTTCTTCTTTTCCCTCTCCTCTTTCTTCTTCTGGTTTCAGATCTCCAAATAAAACCGAATGTGATTTTGCACTTCGTTAATAGCCAAGGGAAATACGATCAGATACGGAATCCATCTTCGTCAATGCTTTGCTATTTGAATTATTCAAACGACAACTCCATCTGGAAAATCACTCTCTCTTTCTTTCTCTCTCTCTCTTTCTCTCTCTCTCTCTTTTTCTCTCTCTCTCTCTCTCTCTCAACACACACGCACACACACATATCACCTTCTCAATTTCTCCTTCTCTCTCTTTGTTTTCTCTCTTTCGCTTCTCCCACTCCTTTGTTTTTTATCTTTCTTCTCTTCCCGATAAAAACGGTTTGGCTATGTATATGCATTTTCTTTGTAATAAATGTGTATGCAATTGCGGAATTGTGAAAGTATTTATGTGTGTGAATGTGTCAATGTCTTTCTGTCTATGCGTGTGCGTTGTTGCTGTCTGCGTGCGTGTGCGCATGCGTTTATAATTGTGCGTGTGTTGACACATGTCTGCCAGTGTGCGAGTATCTCTGCATCTGTGCGAGTGTGTCTGCTCCCATGAGGGTGTGTCTGTGTGCGTTTCTGTCTGCGCATACGTGTGCGCGCGCATGTCTGTGTGCGTGGAGGGGGTCGTGTCTGCACGCATGCGCCTAGATGCATGTATATATGTGTGTTTTTCTTCATGTGTGTTTACTTGTCTTTTGAGGATCTGTGTGTGTGTGTGTGTGTGTGTGTGTGTGTGTGTGTGTGTGTGTGTGTGTGTGTGTGTGTGTGTGTGTGTGTGCATCCAGACCCCAAAAACTGGATGGCTTGAACGAAAACTTAACTTTCATACTCTTGATCATTTTATGAAATTCAACCATTCATGAACCCCAAACTTCCTTCTCTTCTTTTTGGCGGGCCAGGTTCAATTAGGATAAATATATATATATATATATATATATATATATATATATATATATATATATATATATATTTAGTCTTCGATCTGATTTTTTAACATGTAAAATTTTTTTATTTTCGAAACATACTTTCATTAACGTTTTTCCAAATGTCAATAATTTATAACTGTCGGTATTATATACCCGGGTTTCGATCCCGGCTTGAAGTAATTGGACGTCTAGCCTCACTGATGAGCTGTGATACAGTGAAACAGACTTGTATGTGGGTGTCTATATATATATATATATATATATATATGTGTGTGTGTGTGTGTGTGTGTGTGTGTGTGTGTGTGTGTGTGTGTGTGGCATATTTTAATTCAAGAAATGTTTGGTTAAATAATTTAGACGTATTATGCCTATTTATTTTAGTTTTAATCCTTTCAAGTCCACAAATTTCTTGGTGGCTGTAGAAAATTAATTCAGAAAAATTCCAAAATTTTCATTCAAATAATTTATATGTTCCTAAGTACTTTCAATCTCATTTGTGACCATCTTCAATGGTTGCGTATCTATAACTGTGTTAACGCATAACACAAAATAAGTTAATAAAGGAAAAATAGAAATTAAACATTTAAAATTATTACAGGAGACGCCGGTCTACTTCTGATATAGCAATGCTTGCCGGGTTAAAGGGAGATATGTGAGTATGAATCCTAAAAAATAAACACATATATATATATATATATATATATATATATATATATATATATATATATATATATATATATATAAAAAAGAGGAATTAAATCTGGCTTCCAGTCTTTTTTAAGAGAAACGGTTTTCTGTGTCGTAGCCCAAACCAAGCCATTTTCCGACAGGAGAGACGAGGGCGATACAACCTATGTCTATTAAAATAAATTAATCCCCAAAAATATTAGCAATGTATACTACTTAATAAGCGGAACGAATTCATGATAGCCTGCAGGCACAGAAAATCGTAAACAAGAAACAAGTTATAAACCTCCACTCCTGCATAAAAAAAACAACGGGGAGGGAGGCGAACTCGACGATAGGCAAACCGGCTATGCCTGCTGCAAGGCGACTAACCAATCCCTGTTGCAGACGCTTGCTCAGGAATATTTTTGTTTACTCAACAGTCAACCTGTGGTTTATATCACAACTATGTTGTGCAGACTTTAGTTTCAGTTTCTGGGAGAGAGCGCATTTGCTAGCCTGATCAACAATTTGAATAAGGCTAGTATGCTCAAACCCTCGATCACGATGACTTGTCCCTTCGTGCTAACACAACCATCCACGTCTATAAAATTTCACTCACACGGCGTGAGTCAATCCGTGGTATGGTTTTCGGGTAGTTTTAAAAGGTGCCATCTGCTTATATATATATATATATATATATATATATATATATATATATATATTATAGTTTATGAAAAAAACTAGGTAATCCGTATGGGTAAACCCAATGAGGATAACATCCAGAGAGCTCAATGTAAATCCAGAGCAAATAATTTAAATAAAAAACAGACCACTTTAAGGTTCCATGTAATAATTATTTCACCACAGCCCTTTAAAGGACTGTGGATCATCAGACTTTACTTCCAAACAATAAATGAAAAGAAAATTTACATTTTTTGACGGGCCGTATTTAAACATATGTAAATTAACGAAGTGGGTAAGTGAGGGGAGATAAAGAAGACATGAGTCAGTTAGCAGATATCGACACACACACACACACACACACACACACACACACACACACACATATATATATATATATATATATATATATATATAACAAAGTGGAATAAGTTTTCGTGTAACGCGTTTCGTCCTTTATGACTTCATCGGGCTAAGTTTATGTTTACGTTGATGCGACTACGCATGCGCATGAACGTTAGAGAGACGCTGGGAAATTTAAATTTAAAGATGATTTTTTACGTACGTTAGATTATTTTTCTTTCCACCATTTTGTTATCAGATATTCCACATTGTGGTAATAGAAGATCTGCCAAGAATGGTGAAACAAAATGAGAACCTGGACGCAAATCTACTGTAGATGATCAAGCTATTAAAGCATTTCCTATACATTTTCGTGTTAGTAAATTGTTTTCTTCTTTAATTACAACATTTTTATAATATCATGCCCAGTCTCGTTATGATAGGCAATTAATGTATTTAATGTGCTGTTTTATAAAATATCCCTGTTGTGTTCAAATAATCTTTTACTAAAATTCGTGAGGTTTCACCAATGTACTCCTTGTGGCAATTACAACGGATAATAGAAACGCAAACAAAAAGAAAAAAAGTTTAAATTAAATCGGTTCGATTATATACCCAAAGCACATAAAAAATCATCTTTAAATGTAAAATCCCCAGCGTCTCTCTTTCGTTCGTGCGCATGCGTAGTCGCATCAACGTAAGCATAAATTTGGTCCGATTAAGTCCCAAAGAACGAAACGCATCACACGAAAACTTTTTCCACTCTGTCATACATCTTTGTATTTTTAATTGTCTTTGATATATATATATATATATATATATATATATATATATATATATGGAATATGTGGTGCAGTTTAATTTATATTACAAGGAATCATTCATACAAAAAGTAAATTAGTAAAGTTAATGATATAAAATGGTGAATTCACTTCGCTAACTAAACTACAAAAATCCATTAACCCACTAACCATTCGATGAATGTTATGATCCTTGTTTTTTAAAATTATAAACTGTATTAGATCTTCCTAAAATATGCAAGTACTTTCGACAGTTTCTCCGGTCATCATCAGGCATGGAAACTATTTTCTTTTCGGGATGAAAAAATATAATGCAAATCGAAATATATTTTTTATATCATTAACTTCACTAATTTGAGACATTTTTTTGAATTCAAATAATTATAATATATATATATATATATATATATATATATATATATATATATATATAGAGAGAGAGAGAGAGAGAGAGAGAGAGAGAGAGAGTTAGTTGGATTTATGTGAATTTGAGACCCTGGATTTCAAAAAAAGTGTGAAACCCAAGGTTCACAAACTCACATCAATCCAAGTAAATATGTTAGCGCTATCACTGATATTGAGCGCTTTCCAATAAGTACCGCGCATATATAATCTTAAGAAATTTTGCATGTTTAACATTTTTTTATAGATACAAATATTTAAGTAAATGCTCTGTTTATAATAAACAGTATTAAACAACATTTACCGGCCTGAATGTCCTGAGAAATTTTCATTCAAAAATATGCGTCCTCGAAAGAAATCGAACCTGTATCCTATATGAAACCGTCATTTAGCTTGACGACAAAATTTACCGATTTGGCCACGAAGGAGCGTTCGGTTAGCAAGGTCGAATTTACTGTATTTAAACTTCAATCTTCCATGAATCTCTCACGTATATCCATATCTGCTCATGGCGTATCAAATGTAAACAAATGACGTCACACATTATGAAATGGACAAAGTTCGACAATTATTTTAAGACATTTTTATGTTTAACATTCTTTTTATAGATACAAATATCTAAGTAAATGCTCTATTTTATAATAAACAGTATTAAACAACATTTACCGGCCTGAATGTCCGAGAAATTTTCACTAAAATATTCAGGCCGGTAAATGTTGTCAATGGATGCCGGAGAAGAAACTCGGAGAGATGGTGAAAATACAAAATTTACTCAGAGTTACAAAGGTTGTTTGGGTTTTTTAGCGCCATATCAACCTCCATGGATTATTTAATGCCGAAATCTAAATATTTTGTACTCTATTTTATCTTATTTTGGGGAGTTTGTAATGATTTAGTGATACCAGTTTTACTAATTAACCCATTGCTGGGGGGAGAAGAGGTGGATTCATACCTTTCCCAAGGGTATTTGCGCGTAAGTGAATATAATCAACTTGACTGGAATTGGAACTCATTATCTGTTACACCACCTGCACATCCAAGCTTACAGCACCTGGTATTCCCAAGCGGTCACATACTGACTCGACGTTGCTTAACTTGGGTGATCGTACGGGAACGACCATAAGCTAACTACAAAGGATAGGGAACTGTATAGAATTATGGCCGCTTATATTGAAGCGATATGGAACGTAGGCGAAGATCTTTGTTGAATATCACACACCGATAGCCTTGTGCCAGACTAATCACATCTTTGTACTTCAAAAGGAGATATTCTTTTTTATATCTGTAGCTCGTTAATTGTCTGCGTGTCTGTTTAACACACGGTGTCCTTGTCTACTTCCTACTGAGTTTACAATGCACGGAAGTCAAATAGTCGGGAAAGAAAATATATTCAATTACTTAAGCCGAGTTGTAGCCTCTTTTCGCTTTTGTGGCTTTCATTTTTTATTTATTTGTTGTTTTGCGAGTCCGTGGGGGCGGATTGGCTAGGGTTGCCATCATCTGAGCGGAAATA